GGGCACCTTTTGGGATGAGCACTGGGTGTTGTATGGAAACCAATTTGGCAATAAATTTCATATATTGAAAATAAATAAATAAATAAATAAATAAATAAATAAATAAATAAAGTATCCTTTTCCAAAAAAAAAAGATTCTCTCTCTCTCTTTCTCTTTCCCTGTGCCCCTCCCCCACTTGTGCTCATGTGCACCTGCGTGCACTCTCTCTCTCTCAAAAAAAAAAAAAAAGAAAAAAGTAATTGTGGAGTACTACATAGCTTAGCTAGGAATTACATTTACATAATCATAATAATATAAAGAATGAATATTGGTTTAGCCCAATTATGATATATCTCTATTGGGAAGCTTGGGAAATGGAAAGTGTGGCTATATGTGGTGACCAAGGAGGGGGAATCCATGCAAGAGCAAAAAACCTTCATTTTTCAAATTGAGACATAGGTAGATAATGCCTATACCACACAAAGCAAGAGTTATCATTATAAGTGTGTTATTTAGTGATGTGAAGGGAAATACCAAAAGAAACAGCTAAAAAGGAAGCAAATGGTTGCCTTTGGGGAATGGAAAATGGAGGTGATGGGGTGTGGAAGACTGTTCTTTTTTTTCATTATTAGCCTCGTAGAACTGATTGATTGTCTAGGAGTTTGGATAACTTTAGTAAAAATTAAAAATATATTTAAGACATAAAAACCAAAAAAATGTTTTTCATAAAAAGAGCCAACCACTAACTCCAAGGCAAATACAAGTTATTTAAGAAAATAAAAAACACTAAATGTGCTCAGCTGTGAATACTAGTTACATAATTTGCCTTCCAGATTCATCCAACCGTCTCTACCTGCCCTGTGCCCTGGAAGCAGACCTCTGTGGACTCCACCAATAGGCCCCCATGCCCTCTGGCTTCCAGGTGAGTTCTTCCCCTGGGAAGCTTCAGCAGGAGATCAGAGGGAGGAAGGAAGTTGAGTCGAGGGTATGTGGTTCCCTGTCTGTCTTCCTAGCATGATTGTCTCATGCTAGGGCTGCCTGCATGCCCTCAAAATGTTTACATTTGCTATCAGGTGGCTCTCTCTATACACTTCTAGATCTCCAGGTCCTTTGCGCCCAGGTGTGGTAACGGAGCCCCTACAGTTCTAGCAGCCCTATTCCTGTGGTTTTCCTGTATCCTGCCCACACTTTTACAAATGGTCCCTTATTAATTCTTCTCCAATTACCCTATTTGAGTGTGCCATCTATTTTTTGCTGGGACCCTGACTGATACATACAACCATGATAATATAAATAATGAATGTTGACTTAATCAGAAACTCATGATATATTGGGAGGTAAGGAGGGGAAATATGTGAATATTTGAAGAAGGTACACAAAAGGGAGCTAAGTCCTCATTTTCCATAAGAAGAAAATATATAGATATATAATATATATAGATATACAAAAATATATATATATAATATATACAAAATATATATAATATAAATATATATAAACAATATATTGTTACTTAGAAATATGGAAGTAAGTCCCAGAGGAAATAACAAAACGGAGTTGAGGAAATGAAGATACTTCTGATTTGTAATTTGACTACCTGAGAAATAGATTCTAAAACTGTGTTTTTTGGGCTGTGGTTCAAGGCTCATTAGTAGGTCTTTGAAATTGATTTGGTATCAGTCAATTATCTTATTAATTAGAAGAGAGTAGAAATTATCAACGTTTATCACAAGTAGTGAGAGTAAATATTATTTTGTTAAATGGCTTGGTTTTATATTCCTGTGCATGCGTGTGTGTGTATATTCCTGTGTGTGTGTGTGTGCACGTGCGCAGTATCAAATGTATTTCTTATTGTGGTTTGAGCTCAGAAAAGCTTGAAAGTCACTATTCTAAAAGATGGATTGGTGGCTGAAGACAGGGCAGAGAAGTAAATATCTTAACCAAGTGGAGTTAAAGGGTCATGTTATTCCCTGTGGATGCAGTCACATTTCAAATGGCTGACAGGAATAATAATTCACTGCCTTTGTGTGAGGCCCTGCCAGGTTAACAGTCCCACATGTAGCTCTTATTATATTCGCCCTGTGCATTATAATGTTCTTGGCTCAGCAGCTAATAAAGAAATAAATCCAGAACCTCTCTGGTGGGATGATATATTGCTTTATCATGGAAGCCACTACCGACAAAAAAGATATATAATTGTTCAGGATGGGGGAGGGGCACCATAATAAGGTTAAGAAGCAAGAATAAAAATTACAATACAGTAGGAAATAGGATGGACACCCGACTTGTTTCCAATGAACCAATACTTAAACTACAAGCCAGGTGATTCCAGGCTTAACCTAACAGAATTCCTAGAATGTAAAACCAAAAACACCATCTCATAGGCATGAGGTCCAGACTGGTGAAATAAATTGAAAAAGTGTGCTATTTTCAAATTTGCATGAAGATACCATTTTATCATATACAGTTGGAACTGTATATAGTTCTGGAATTCCAACTATATTCATTCTATGAATTATGTAATTATATGACTATCTACACTGAAAGGAAGGTGAGGAACTAAACCACAGTTTTCCCACCAACTTGCATAAAGTGAATGACAGGTGCCAGTGAAAAATCAATAATTCCCACGAAGCCTTCAGAATTCTAAACACAAATGACAAGTGCAACAGTTTTTAATCATGAGGATAAACCCTTAAAGTACATTTTTGATTGTAACAACTAGTTGTGAATGGATCATCAATTAAAAGTTGGCCCTTGGGAAGGGAAGGAAAAATAAGATAAAAACAGAGAGGGAGGCAAACCATCAGAGACTCTTAAATACAGAGAACGGACTGAGGGTTTCTGGAGGGCAGATGGGTAGGGGGATGGGTTCAATGGGTGATAGGCATTAAGGAGGGCGCTCTTAGGGATGAGCACTGGGTATCCTATGTAAGAGATGCATCACTGGGTTCTACTCCTGAAGCCTGTAGAGTTATTTAACTTGAATTTAAATTAAAAAAAAAAAAAGAAGTTGGCCCTTACACAATGGGATATTCAGGTCTCGTGACAGTGTGAGGGTGAAAGGGAGTCTCAGGGGTTGTCCCCAGAGCTCTGGTCTCAGGAAAATGTTGCCACTCCTCTTGAGAATTCAGAAGCAGCAAGGAAGTTGTGCTCACCAATGTCATCACATCCTTTTTCTTCAGAGGGCAATATGAACAGAAAGGGTTGACTGACGTGAAGGCTGCTTCTCTGCCTCTCGTGCTCTCACATCCAGTGGTGCTGCACCATGCCTGTGTGCTCACCTCCGAGCCAAGCACCACAAAGAGCCAAGAGAAGGAGGAGATGGGGCTCCACTCTCAAGGAGTTTTCAGTCTTGTTAGGTATCAGTGAAACAACCAGACCATGATGTCAGGTGGCATCTGATAAGGACATTAATTGTGTGAATTAAGAAATAAGTTCAGGGGGGCGCCTGGGTGGCTCAGTCGGTTGAGCAGCTGACTTTGGCTCCGGTCATGATCTCGCGGTCCGTGAGTTCGAGCCCCGCGTCGGGCTCTGTGCTGACGGCTCAGAGCCTGGAGCCTGTTTCGGATTCTGTGTCTCCCTCTCTCTGACCGTCCCCCGTTCATGCTCTGTCTCTGTCTCAAAAATAAATAAACGTTAAAAAAAAAAAATTAAAAAAAAAAAAGAAAGAAGTTCAGGGGCGCCTCAGTGGCTCGGTGGGTTAAGTGTCCGACTCTTGATTTCGACTCAGATCACGATCGCACGGTTCGTGAGATTGAGCCCCGTGTCAGGCTCTGCAATGGCAGTGCAGAGTCTGCTTGGGATTCTCTGTCTCCCTCTCTCTCTGCCCCTCCCCTGCTCACTCTCTAAGTCTCTCTCTTTCAAAATAAAGAAATAAACATTTTAAACAGAGAGAGAGAGAGAGAGAAATAAGTTCAGTTAGAGAGATCTGTGTCCCTGGCACCATGGTGTAACATGTTTGGGGCAGTCCTGCCACCTTTGAGGGGCTGTGGAATAGGGCGAGGCTCTCATTCCTACAGCGCATTGGGACAGGCCTCACCAAATGAACACAAGGGCCGACGTGCACTTTTGTGCTCATTGCCAAATCCCACCAGCCTTAAGAGCTGATCTGTTCAGGATCTCAAAATCCCAAATTCCTGCCTGTCTTGAGCTACCACTTATCTCCTGATAAGCTATGGAAGGCTGGGTTACGGGAAGTAGGGATCAGGAAAACCAAGTCTCACAGTCCCCACCAGGCCTATCTTGTGTCTGAAGCACCCACACAGTGATGGTGGGAATACACAACCACAAGGCAGACGCATCAGGCAGGTTCTTTGTTGCAAACAACATCCATCCTGATAGGTTAAACAAAAAGGAATATATTGAGGGGTAGTAAGAGGGGGCTCACAGAATCACTAGGGTGGTGAGAGAATCAGGCCTGTAAGCCTGAACTGTACTGTCAGACTGCTCCCACTGCTGGGCGAGAGCTCTGTAGCTTACGGGGCTGGTGCTGGGCATGGGATGCTCCCCCTAGGCTCTCTGCCACCACTGCCCCGGAGGCTGGAAGTCTCTTCTTCAGGCTCTACTGCCCTCACTAGAATGGATTCTGTGCCATCCCTCCACCTTCACTGTCTTCCAAAGCAAACGCTTATGGGAGCATCATTGCATACACACACATAGCTGCAAGTATATCTGAGAAACTAAGTGTTTGCCTTCTGCCTTGGGAGGCAGGATGTCCAAAATCATCCTAACACAGGGAGGGTGGGCAGAGGCACCAGGCAGCCAAACAGCATGGAAAAAGTGTTTGTTTGTTAAATGAGCCTGAGGCAGGACGTCACACATTGTTCCTAGGTCCATGTTGTTGACCTCTCTACACACCACCTCAATGACATTTGAAATCAGGCATTTCCCATCCGTTGGGACCCAGTGACTCTCTTCTTGATCTCCCAAGGTCATAGGATGGTTGTGCGGGTGGGATAACCCAAGGCAGCAGCGATGGCAGCAGGCAGCAGGAGCTAAAAAGGGACACGTGGCTTAAGAAGTGCCCCCCGACACACGTACCACACCAGTGATGTTCTGTGCTGACGTCAGTCACTGAGGAAAATCCTGGATCACAGTTCAGATGCTTGTTTTCCTGATAAAACCACACACTAAAACAGGACTTCGGTTTCTTCTTCAAAGCTGGAACATAAGGTCTCAGCGAGGATCATCGGCTGTATTAGTTTCCTGTGGCTGTTGTAACAAATGACCACAGACTTGATGGCTTAAAACAACACACATTTATTCTCTCACGGTTTTGGTTTGAAATCAGTATTAGTGGGCCAAAGTCAAGATGTGGGCAGGGCCATGCTCCCTCCAGAGGCTCTAGGGGAAGAATCCTTTCCTGTCTCCTCCAGCGTCTGTGGCTGCTGGCATTTCTTCCTTGGCTTGTGGCCACATCACTACAATTTCTACCTCTGTTTTCACATTACCTTCTGTGTGTGTAGAATCTCCCTCTGCCCCTCCCTCTTATAAGGATAAATGCAATTGCATTTAGGGCCCACCTACCTAATTTAGGACAGTCTCTTCATCTCAAGATCCTTAACTTAATCACAGCTGTAAAGACCCTTTTTCAAAATAAGGTAACATTCACAAGTTCTGGGGATTAGGACCTGATCTCTTTGGAGAAGATTATCCAGGTTACTATAGTGGTAGTTGAGAGCTGTAAAAGATAGACTAGAAGAATCAGGCAAGACAGGGGTTAATAAATTAAGTGCACTATTGTTAGGAATGTAAATTAGTGCAGCCACTATGGAAAACAGTATAAAGGTTTCTCAAAAAATTAAAAATAGAGCTACCTTGGGGCGCCTGGGTGGCTCAGTCAGTTGGGCATCCAACTTTTGATTTCAGCTTGGGTCATGATCTCAAGTTCATGAGATCAAGCCCCGTGTTGGACTCTGC